CTCTATCCTCCTCACATTTGCTTGATGAAAGAAGCAGTTATCATGAAGGCGTTGGAAGAAGCTTATTAGGACTGAATGCTTGCCACGACAGGTGGACTCGCTGCGATCTCGAAGGGCTGCTTTAAAGCCAAAAAAGGCAATCTCAAAATTTGAGAGCTGCGCTATAGTTGTAATTATATGTGCACCAAACTTTTTGTTTCTAGGTACTTTCCTTCATTTTATCTGAAAAGTACAAGGCTCCCAGACTTTTGACGCACCCTGTATAACCTGTTCAGTTCAAGCAACAGATCTATTATAACTTTGGTACCCTAGAAAAGGAGATACGATTTGAGAAGCAAATCGCAAGTTTATCTTCACGGAATATGCGTGCACTGAAAAACAACACGTAGTGTTTTAACCATACATCGAATCGATGCAAAAATCTGTACTATTTTTTGAATCTATCGACTTTGAAGGATGGTGGACAAACGCTAAACGGAGTAATTTTTTCGATGATTTGAGATATTTGCCAAATTCATCCCATTGTTTCTACCTTCTCTAATTTCGAATTGTTTTCATAATTTTTGTTTGAAACTTTCGAAAAATAGTCTGATTACTATCAAATAAATCAAAGCTTTTTTTGCGAGCTTGTTTTTTGCACATTTCCGGTGGCTTCCTAGACTTTGTGCTGATATTCCATAAATCTTGAGCTTGAAAAAACCACGTAGTACCCAATTGCACTAAATAATAAAATAAAAAGTCATGTGATAATCAGATTATTACTGTGCCAATGTGACGGAGTGAGAGCCATTATGGGTTCAAATTTGAAGACTTAGAATTGGAAAAAGTTTGATCCCACCCCTAAGCCAATCAGACCTTCCACCCTCCAATGACGGTGAATCGGTATCAGGGTAAGGATAAAAGGGAGAATCGAAGCACTAACAGCAACCGGGTTACCTCGCGAGTTATAGTAAAAGAGCTGCACGCTTTCAGTAGAATTCCGCGGGTTTTTGTGGTAATTTTTGACTTTAACTTGTTTCGTTCCAACCTTTTTCTTCTTTGTAATGCAAGCAAGCACTCTTCTCGTATGGATGTTGGCATTGATGAATACGAAATTTGTTGTTCCAGAGAACCGGTAGGGTTTGCACCTACATATATTTTTTTACAGACAGTCCATTAAGAGCAGTAACAACTTCGACCTTAACACATCCTTTGATCGCTATATAGAATTATTGCATCGTGCAGCGATATCGTTCATAAACATAGATCCGACTTTGTTGTTGTTGTTATAGGCTTACACATTTTGTTTATTCTTAGGAAACTGACAAGCATCGCTCGCTTTATCATTCGCATCGCAAGTCATAAAGGGAACTATATCTATTACGAAGCTTGACTTTGATATAATGCTTTGAAGCCAATGGGCTGTAACAAAAAATACCATTTTATTTGCGTCTACCCAGTTATCAAGAGTTATGAACGTATTTATAAAGTAGCCACTTGAATAAAATAGTATAACAACAAAAACGTTTGTCTTTGCAGCTACTTTGACATTTTCGAAGATATAGAATGTAACGTTCCGCTTTGATGGTTCCTCACAGTTGTCATTACAATAAACTCTGTGATGACCATGACGATGGTGATGACGATGCCTTGCGTGACGATGTCTTCCTCGGCCGTGGCCTCCACTCCAGAGTCTTTTCAGTCGTCTGCTGCCCCATATTCTCGGACAGCAGCTTCCTTGATAATTCCCATTTCCTTGAATGTTCGCTTTAAAAAATAGGAATGGAAATTGGAAATGGAAATTTTATGATTGGCTGCTTTACCTTGTCCTGTTCCCGTATTAAGGGCTGACGAAGAATTTTGCCTTAGGTTGCTTATATCAAATGGCACCGCACAGTTGCAAGTCAGAAACAGCACAAAAAATAAATATAAAAGTAGCATTTTCTAAAAAAAATTTATTCACTGAAGAAAATGAGTGGATACTTCCCAAAAGCATTAGCGGATTGTCATGATATGATGCCCATCCAAAAACCCTTACAACTTCCGAGTTTATTGTATCAGCCAATCTCGGTTTTTAAAAATCGTGTTCAATCTTACGAATTAAAGGAGTGACCCTGATAAACCAGATCGATTGCCAAGATATATCGTTATATATCTCTTTATGTGTCCAACCCTATCTAAAGATGCCTTTCACATCAGAGGTTTAACGAAAATTTTCGGATTAGTCAAGCTTGAGTGAGTGAGAGCACTGACCAAAAGCTAAATCTTTATCTGTTTTTCTTTTACTTGCCAATATAAAGTGTGTCCCAAAAAGTGTGCTTACAGTTTGATTGTTAATAACTTTATTATTATATTGTCTTTCAAATAGCTTCAAATACCATTTTGTAGTGCTGGCTTCAACTTCGATTCATAGCTCAAAGCAAATCACTGATCCCTCCTCCTTATTGGATTACGGTAAGAACTTTCAGCTTTCAGCTACGTTATTGTAGATTACTGGTTTAAAAAAATTCCAAGTAATCTGAAAAGTTGAGCTTAGGGGTATTCACGGCGTTGACATTACACAACTTTTAGGAGCTGTAAAAGCTCTTTTAATGCTGTAATCACAGTTTTAGGGAGCATTGTCAAAGCACTCACTGAGGTCATTGGGCATAACTTATGAACGAAGGCGGAAAAGTTCACATTTGGTGTCAGTGGCTCTGATTAGCCTAGTGCTGAAGTTTTCACGTTGTTTCGTCTGCTCCCAGAATTTGAATAAAGACCTTCAAAAATTCACTTCAAAAATCTTACCGTTCTATGAAAATGGATAGCGATCGGTGATCTGCTTCATACTTCAAATTTAAGTTGAGGCCAGTTCTACGGAAAGGTTCTTAAAGCTTTTCTAAGGACTTCACGACGAGAAAAAAAATTAAACAGGCTCATTTTTTGGCACCTTGTATAATTACAAGGAGCGCAAAACCTTTTTTGCGACACATTTAGAACAATGCAGTAAAGAAGGTCCCATTTTGTCCGCTTGACAATGACACAAAAAATACACAAACAAAGAAGCTCTCACCATGTAAGTTATCATTAATTGCTTTGCTTTCATTTCAATAAAAGAAAAGAAGAAAAGAAGAAGTACTATTGCAAATCCTTCTTGTATGTTTTGAATTTCTAGGAGTCTTTGAAAAGGTTGGATATCACTGAACTCGCAGAAAGTGGAATAGAACTAACTATAACTTGTTGTTTAAAATTTCTGCTTATGTTTATGACGTTTCTGTCAGAGCAAGCATTCTTTGAAAAAGGTCACTGGTCATGCTCCACGGCAGAACATTCCAACAGATCATGAATAAGCGCATGCACAGTGCACTTGCTTCGAAAGCGAAGCCGTTATAACCCGTAGCATCTCCATTTCATTTTTATGAATTTTTCACACGAAGTATGGACCATCACTGAGGTGGAGACACTCGAGCGCATATTTCAGAAGTTAGAATCATTGAGACACAGTAACAATCATCCAGTCAAGTCATCTTTTTCTACTCAAGAAAGTGATGTTTGTTAAATTTCTTTGGATACTAAAAAGGATTGTTCTGTCACGCGTAAAGTGCGTAAGTTCATATAGAATTTGAAGCGTTTGCTATACCGCACTCATTTTTTCAAACTGAAGTACATATATGATCCAATGTAAGGGATATGTCGATTTTTAAAAATTTATTTTGATGATTTAATGTAAGGAATGTGTTTATTTTTATTTTTTAAATTTATTTAGATACGCACGAACCATGCACATTAATAATGAAACGAAAGCACTACACGGAACAATTAGTAATAAAGAAAACAATCCAACCAAGTCAGCTCAACTCTCGTCCGCGATAATTTTATTCATGGGAAAGATATGGATTTCTTGTTTGAACGACTATGAAATCATCACAGTTGTAACAACTTTAGAAGATTTTCACCATTAACTGAAGCTGATATACCTAATGATTCAGGAACCAAGTCAGTATATCCTGAAAAGGGTAGCAGGCTCAATGACACTTCGCACTGGTCAGTGCAGACTAAGTAGATCACCAGTCTTCTAACGTGAACTTGCGCAGATTGTAAGTGTATTCCGCTTATCATAGCAGGAAAGAACCTTTTCTTTACAAATGATTGGTTTGTTTGCTGTTGATAAGGCTGCGATGTCTCATAATGAAGTTGCTTGAGACTATACTATAAAAGCGATGGAGTATTTATTAGGTCGTACCGAAAGTTCTGTCGTTTCATTTTTGAAAAATCATAACTTTGCGCTGTCACAACGGATTTACTTTCTTACATTTTTATTAGAAAGAGTAAATCCTTCGCTTTCGAATGCTCTTCTGTAGAGCTTCTGTTTCGTACTGGGTGCGGAGATAAAAATGGAAAACTAAGAGCATGTAAACTTTGACCATTCTAAGTTAGGTCACCAAAAATCTGGAATGCCGCAGAAAAATCTGAAATCGTCAGTACATATGTTTTTTGGCCTATCCTTGCATCTGTGAAAAGTTTGTGCCGTTTGGAAGTCTCTGTGAGAAGTTATGAATATCGAGTTTACTATGGAAAACACCAAAATTGATTAATTCGTCAATTTTCGCGAAAATCATAACTTCTCACAGAGACGTCCAAACGGCACAAACTTTTCACAGATGCAAAGGTAGGCCAAAAAACATATGTACTGACGATTTCAGATTTTTCTGCGGCATTCCAGATTTTTGGTGACCTAACTTAAAATGGTCAAAGCTTATGTGGTCTTAGTTTTCCATTTTTATCTGCGCACCCAGTGTGAATCGCGAGCTCCGCAAAACGGCGTTCGAAAGCGAAAGATTTATTCTTTCCAATAAAATTATAAGTTGGCAAATCCGTTGTGACAGCGCAAAGTTATGATTTTTCAAAAATGAAACGACAGAACTTTCGGTACGACCTAATATATTGACGTTTTCTTCTCACGGTAATTACAAATCTAGGTATTGTCCTGATATATCGCCAATCTACACAAAAGATTTATGCCGTTATAACCAAAAATTTGATCATTTGGGTCCAGCACTTTTTGCATGAGCTGATGATTTGAGGTTGCGATCGAGGAAATCTTTCCAGCACTTATTTATCCCTTTCACTCTCCTTCCATCCTTTAACGCTCGGCGCTCCCTCTTCTTTCGTTCAATGCACTTTTTTACTGTGTCAAATCGCCGCCTGTAGACTTTATTCCTCTTCTTTCTTATCTTCACCGACCGGGTCTCACTGTTGTCGATTTTGATGTCGTCCGGATTCGCAAGCTCCGTTGGTTTTGACTCTGCAAAGTGCTGTAAAAATGATACGTAAGAGAAAGCGATTCACAAACATACTTTCTTGCTTAGTGCCACTACAAAGATACACGCCAAAAACAGGAAGCCAAATGATCGCGACATGTGCATTTTCTAAAGTAAAGAATATAACAAGTTCTTCAAATAGCAACGACATGTTCTGATAGAAGTTGAGTTTGTTGTGTATTCAATCAATTCTTTTTCAGAATTATCACTCATATTGCACTAATGTATCAAAGTGGTAGAAGCCATTGCAAATCATAAGAATAGTAAAATTTGTAGCCTGAAGGTACAAGTGGGGACAAGCACTGCTTGCAACAGTTTCGATCATTTTTATGGCGCGATGAATGTAAATGCCACACTTTTTACTTTCAAAAGGTCACTTCAACACATTGCGAATACCCGCACGTATACGTCACAACTGTCACGAGTTTCTGTTTCATCGGTTCAGAAACGTGAACATAAAATGTAATTTGGATATGTACGTACCCTAAGTGAATCTGTTTGAGGTTGCCAAAAAATGTCAAAAAAGTTGTTCTGAAGTAAAAGCAGTAGTCTGTTTCATCTTTCCGCGTTAGCATACAAAAGCAGACACTTTGTTGCGTAACTCAGGGTAGCGGTTGGTTCACTCACAAATTTGTGACGGCATGAAGCTTTTTTTTTTCACAAAACCAAGAATAGAGATCAAACAGGGCCTCTGCTCTGGAATGCGTAAAATGACAATGGTTAGAGGATTGTAGGAGATATTCTAGCATTTATGCAGAAGCAGTCACTTCTCCTGTCGTTTACACATTTATATATCGAGAAAAAAGAACAGTTTCATTTCGTGTAAATGTTGCCAACACTTACATTGTGAAAGAGCACAAATTAACTTTTGAAATACTCGCATACTGCATCCTAAAGCCAAGTAAACATCTTACACTACAATTTTGATTCAGTTTTAGTATTTCGTAATTTTGAGCCACATCTGTCTGATGATTAGTGCATTTCACTCATATAGTGAACAAGAATTCTTTTGGGTATGATGTCTAGGTTGCCATTCTTTGCAATACACCAACAACACTTTACCTCAAAAATTTCATGAAGACCGTTGTTGAGTCTAAAAAAAATAAGGGATGCTTCATATAATAGCATACGTAAGTGCATTCACTTCCAGTCCAAATTTTGGTTTCAGTTTGTCTCCCATCTCACGAGCATCAAATATGTCACATTCTCAGCGTTGTACCGACACCGTTTACCATGGTAAATGATCAGATTCTAGTAGACGCATGAAAAAATGAACTACAGCAGAATTTGCAAGAAGATTCCAAGTTGTGTATCTCGTATCTTGTTTCAAAGTATTCAAAATCTATAGAAAAACTCCTTAAGATATGCACGCTTGTGAATTAGTACAAATATGCTGCTATTCCCAGTCTTGTGGAGTGATAAGGTGAAACTAGTTTTCTAAAAACTACGCCATACATACTTGGACAAGCACTAACAAAGCATGCTACTAGCTATTGTGACCTTTGTTATGATACGTGTAACCATGAATTTGCGATGACTAGATGATTACAAATCTGCCCTCTATACATTAAAACTTCTCTAAACAAAGTAAAGCATCAATCGAATCAACTTTTCAAGATGTTGGGCAAAAATCATGACTACTCAACTCTTCCCTCGCAGTTGTACAGCCCAATATGAAGTTAATGTTCCCTGGTTGCTGTTTTTGTTTGCTTAATAGGACATTACGAATTTCGTGATGGCTGTCTAAGATAAGTCTAAGAGATTGCTGATTTTTGGTGTTAAAATGTCGTGACTTGATTTGAGTTTTTCGCAGATAAAAAAAACTATGAAATCAGCGTTCCAAATCGTATCCAGTGTTGCGCACCTTATCACGAAGATTCACAGTTACCAAATATTTCTCCATTGTAAGCTTTCGTCAAGTTTTCCTTTCTTTATATCAACATTTGAAGATCTCCTCCTATAAAGGCATGATAAAAATGGAAATTCTAATTCGAAGATGTGTGTTTACTTGATATTTATAGGCTGGCACATATGTACTAATTTCGTAACTTTTCTCTTTATAACTATGACACATTTTCTTGAACATGATGTAGACTAGATAGTAGGCAACAAATATCAAATATTATATTAGGTTGGTGCAAAAGTAATGCGCGTTTTGCGAGTTCTCACTTTGACGTGCTATAACTTTCTAAAAAATCCATATTTTTCAGTGCACCAAAGTTCATCAGAGGCGTCAAACCTTTCTCTATACAGCGCACATTGCCTTAGGTTAACTTCGCAAATTGGTGAAAAAATATGGATTGATAAGCAAAAAAATTTTTTTCGGAAACCTCCTTTTTAACTGATCATAACTTCCTTCAAGTTTTGTCGGTATAAATGATAAGTTGACTATCTTGTAGCCGTAAGCCAATAGTACAAAAAAAGTACAAAAGGGCTCAAACAAAGAAGATTTGCAAAAAGGAAAAAATAATATTCAAAATTGTCCGCTTTTTTCGACATTTTTTCGTAACCCTCAAAATCCCAAAATACGGAGATTTTTGATTTTCTGTGTACTGAACAGCTTCCACATTTCTGCAAAACTGTCAACAGGAGGCCCACCCTTACGCTTACAGAAATGAGCAAAACTTTGGCGATTGCCCTCTTCAAAAGAAATCTATAGGCCACAGAATGGTCAAAACCATCACTCATGTTGGGGCGCCGAAATCTCAGTCTAAATAACTTCTGAGAAAACAGTAAAGCGTGCATAATGTAGAAAATTTCTACTACATACAGTACTTGAATTTTCAAAAGAATGGGTTTACTCGCGCTAAAATTCTGACCAAAAAAGTAAGTGCAATGAGATTCCGGTTCCGAGTGCGGTTGTATGAAGCTCTATAAATTTTTATCGAATGAGGCTAAAGGCTTCTTTTAACCACCGCTGAATAGAGCATGAAATAAGCTTCTTGAAATTATGCTGGGTGAGTTTCATAGGAAAAACTTTAATGGAGAAAAGCTATCTTGAAAAGGGCTAGAAAAACGCGCATTACTTTTGCACCAACCTAATATCGTGAATCGTTTTGCGTATTGACTGGAATGATAGTTCTGTATGGATGTTTTTTGCAGATATTGAATAAAACTGTTTTAGGAAAGACACTCGGAAGTTCGAATTTTTGAGAAAAAACCGGCTTTTCCATGGGTCTTCGACTGCGTCAATAATTGAAACTCTTTTTAAAACATATTTTGTCAGAAGTAGTGGTATCCCCCATGTCCATGGGGTACCACTTATGATAATGGCCTCCTCCTTGACGTCTACGTCGGTGTTGCCTTCTCTGTTCCCCAGATTTTCTCCATTCACCGCTTCGCCAACACCAGCCTCCTCATGCTTGACTGAAAAATTTCTTGGACAGCAGCATACCTGCCACTCGTCCCTTGCAAACCTCTGGAGCGGTTAAGAGACCATCAAAAAACTTTATCAGCAGGCACTATACCTCACGCTGGTGGCCCAGTGATGCCTGAATTTCTACCTTGTGTTGAAGAATTTTAAAGCTGATAAAATCAGCTTTTTCACAAGTCAGAAACATAATGAAAAATACGTATAAAAAAGCATCTTCTGCAAACTTTTGAAATTGATGCAGATTAGGCTACTTTGATGCAAGCTAAAGCGAACTGAGGATCACGGCTTATAAGTCTGATTATTACGTTTGGATTAATGGTTGAATGTTTGTGAGTCATTCAGGTTCTGAGGACTATCGAAACAAAATTTCTTCCTATTTTGTCGCCGACTCAATATGATGTAGCATTCATTGCCAACTCCGAAACACCACTGCGGCTTATAGCAAGAGCAGCAAACATAATCGATATGAACTAGCAGAATTAATTATGGCTTACTGGCTTCAGTCTAATTTTCCAGCTATTTGTTCAGCGAAACTACTTATTCCATCTATTCAGTGAAGAACTTATCAACAGAGGGTTGAAAAGGTAGTGAAGCTCACACAGTGTGTTTACGTTGAAGTTTTGGATCATTTTGTGCTTCACATCAAACTTTTTTGACAATGGAAAATGCTGTATGACTATGCGGCACCAACAGCCAGTCGCCACTTAGATACAGGGTGTCTTGAAACTCTGAGAACCAACTTAACCATGTTGTAATTCAAGAACTACTCTTTGATTCTTGATTTTGATATCAGTTTTGTGCCACATAATGCTGCGAACATCCTCGTCATAGCACAGTTGACCTAGCTCAAAATGCTTGCCATACGCTCTTGTAAGAATTGGAATTATTAAAGAAATGCTTATGCGGAGCGAGAAAATCAAAACTTTCCGTATAACATTTTATCTTGTAGCTAGAAGTACTTTAGATCTTCCACAATGCTTTGATGCACACATTGTAGAGGAGGTTTGCGCTATTACATCTTATTATTTGCGTTTACGAAAAGTTGTTCTTTCAAAAACAAAAAATAAAGGTTTTCGAATGTTACCTGCGTGCCATTGGTCATCTGTCTTCAAAACAAATTTGAAAGCTATAGAAGCGCAACAAGCACTGTGTCTTAGGCTAATTTCTTTCTATGAGTCTTATATTATATATAAGCATCTAGTTAGATTCCGCCAATGGAGCAATCTTAATACTTCTTACGTTATGATTTTCCACTTTCCTTCGCGCAAGGATCCGAATTTTCAGTATGCGAGTGCACTTGCCTTCACACAAAATTCCAAAATTTTCATTTTTAAGTACTGCAAAACGTTTTCTTGAAAGTGTGTTGTAGACAAAAGCTTGCTCTATCCTCCTCACATTTGCTTGGTGAAAAAAGCAGTTACATGAAGGAGTTAGACGAATTTTAGTAGGACTACCTGCGTGCCACGACAGTGGACTCGCTACAATCTCGAAGGGCTGCTTTTAAGCCAAAAAAGGCAAACTCAAAATTTTGAAGCTGCGCTATACTTGTAATTATATGTGCACCAAACTTTTTGTTTCTAGATCTTTCCTACATTTCATCTGAAAAGGTACTGGGCATCCAGACTTTTGACGCACCCTGTATAACTTGTTCAGTTTAAGCAACAGATCTGTTATAATTGTGGTACTCTAGAAAAGGAGATACGATTTGAGAAGCAAAATCGCAAGTTTGTTTTCACGGAATATACGTGCACAAAAAACAACACGTAGTGTTTTGACCATACATCAAATCGATGCAAAAATCTGTGCTATTTTTTGAATTTATCGACTTTGAAGGATGGTGGACAAACGCTGAACTATGGAGTAATTTATTCGATGACCTGAGATATTTGCCAAAGTTTTCCCATCGTTTCTACCTTCTCTTGGTTCGGATAGTTTTCATAATTATTGTTTAACACATTCACGACAAGGCCGATTTTTTGATTACTGCCGTTTCGGACCAGAGCCTTTTTCACTTTGTCAAACTTACAACCCACCTGTGGGTCGTGTTGTTCGAAATGGTAGTCTTTCTGGAAGAAATCTAAAACATGTCTCCGAGAATATCTCCCACATGGGTTATCGAGGGCGCTGATTACCAAAATATGATTTATTTCAGTTTTGGACAGTATACGGTAAGATTACGGTAGTCATTCTGTACGAACCCAACATTATGGATTTTCCTGAAAAATTGTGTTTTGGGGTTATTTCACATGCTGATCACGATTATAGTATACACTTTGTTCACTACTTTCCCACAGTGGGACCACGGTAGAAGTACGGTAGAATTTTCGTAAGAATCAAGAAACTGATGTAAGAAGGCGGTATCAGAACTGGAGACTATCATTTTCGTAATCTGCACGCTAAAAAACATATATATGTAAGGTTTGAGCTTCCTGGAATGAACAATGCGAAAAAACAATAAAATCAATAAAATCGGTGATTTTTGATGTGGTAACGTCAGTCTCTTGCTAGCCCCATATTCTGGTGCATGTAAACTTGATTTTCCAGAAACAGCATCTTCTGCAAAGAATTTGAGCTAAAGTCTGTGACTTATATTTATCTACGGTACACCTACCGTAACATTACATTACAGTACCCGAGCCCACACCCACCACTTTGGCTGGAGCTTCATCTAGGTGTCCCCAATCATGTGCCAGAACCCCCTAGAATTCCATCGTAAACTGGCAGAGTTAGAGCTTCAGGAATCTTACGACCCACCGGTGGGTCGTATCGTCCGAAATGGCAGAACACGTGCGACCCACCGGTGGGTCGTATTGTCGTGAATGTGTGAAAACTTTCGAAAAATATTTTAATTACTAGATCAAAAGCTCTCTTATCTTTGAACCTGGGCATTTTGATAAGTGTCAGTAACAGATTGTTTTGCCGAATCCAGGTTTCTTGTCTTTTTCAAAAGGTCTGAACGTAGATTATAATCTATAATTAAAATCTACGTTCAGACTTCTTGAAAAAAACGAGCCCGTCGAAACGTCGGTCGAATAAACATCCACCAAGAAATTTGGATTCGGCAAAACAATCTATTACTGACACATTTTGATTACTATTAAATAAAGCAATGCTTTTTGCGAGATTGTTTTTTGCACGTTTCCAGTTGGCTTCCTAGTCTTTGTCTGATATTCCACAAATCTTGGGCTTGAAAAAATAACGTAGTACATAATTGCACTAAATAATGAAATAAAAAGTTGTTTTATAATCAGGTTATTACTGTGCCAATTTGACAAAGTGAAAGCCATTATGGGTTTGAAATTTGAAGACTGGGAACGTTTGGTGTAATTGTAAGAGCCGCCGCTATAACTAGAATTGGATAAAAGTTCGATCCCGTTCGTGAGTCAATCACGCCTTCCACTCTCCAATGACGGTGAATCGGTACCAGGGTAAGGATAAAAGGGAGAATCGAAGCACTAACAATAACCGGGTGACCTCGCAAGTTACCGTAAAAGAGCTGTACGCATTCAGTAGAACTCCGCGAGTTTGAGGTGATATTTGAATTTTGACACTATTTCGTCCCAACTTTGTTTCTTCCTTGGGATACACGCAAGTAGTCTTCTTATATGAATGATGGCAATGATGAATACAAAATTTGTTATCCCAGAGAACCGATAGGGTTTGCACCCACATATATTTTTTTTACAGAACTCGGTCCATTATGACTAGTAACAACTTCGACTTTATCACAACCTTTGATCATTACATAGGTTTTTTGCACCGAGCGCAATATTAAGCATAGTTCTGACTTTGTTGCTATTACAGCTTTACACATTTTGTAGGAATTATTCTAGAGAAACTGACAAGCATCGCTCGCTTTATCATTTGCGTCGCAAAATGCAGAAAGAACTGTCTCCTCTATAAAACTTAGATAATATAGTGTTTTGGGGCCTACGATGCAATGAAAAATATTTCTCATTTGCGTCTATCTAGTTATCACGAGTTACGAACGTAATTGCAAAGTAATCGCTGGAATAAAATAGTAACAACAAAAACACTTGTACTTGCCGCTGCCTTGACATCTTTGGAGGTACAAGATGTAACGCTTTACCTCGATAGATATTTCTCACAGTTGTCAATACCAATGAAATCCAGGATAACGATGACGGTGGTGATGATGATGCCTTCCGTGCTGATGTCTTCCTCTGCCGCGACCTCTAACCCAGTGTCTTCTCGATCGCCTGCTGCCCCATGGTCCCCTTCTATTCGGACAGCAATTTTGATAGCTCCCATCTTCTTGAATACTCACATTAAACATACGAATGGAGATTTGTATGTTGGCCGCTACCTCGTCCTGTTCCTGTCTGAAGGATTGACGAAGAATGCGTCGAATTGCTTGGATAAAATGGCTTTGCACACTCGCATGACAGAAACAGCACAAAAAATAAGTACAATAATAGCATTTTCTGGAAAAATTCGTTTGCAGAAAAAAATGACTGGAAACTTAACAAAAGCGGTAACAGATCGTAATTCGTTAACCGTCAGAAAACTCTTACATCTGTTTCCGAGTTTTTTTTTGGACCAACCAATCTTCGTTTTTAAGAATTGGGTTCAATTTTACGAATCAAAGGAGTGATCTTGATAAACTAGATTAAGTGCTAAAAACTAAAGCCTGGATTTATCATTATGTCCAACATGATTTTTATCTATTGATGCCTTTCACATTGTAGGTATAAGAAATTTTCGGATTAGTCAAGCTTGAATGGGTGACTGACCAAGAGCTGTTTCTTTTGTTACCTGCTTTGGTTTTACTTGCGTCAATATACAGGGGTGTCCCAAAAACTGTGTTCACTGTTTATTGTTAATAGCTGTTTTAGTAGCTTCAGGTATCATTTTGTAGAGCTGGCTTGAACTTAGATTTCATACCTCGAAGCGACTCACCGATCTCTATTACTGGATTACGCTGGAAACTTTTAGCTTTCAGCTGCGTCATTGTGGATTACCAGTTTGTAAAAATTTCAAGTAATCTGGAAATTGAGAACAAAAGTATTCACGCTCGGATTCTATAACACAACTTTTTACGAGTTCGTTAAAGCAAATGTTGCATTCACAGTTTAAGGAGTGTTGTCAAAACAGCCACTGCGGTCACTTGGCATCTTATATATAAAGCTGAATGTCTGTTTGTCTGTATGCCTGTCTGTATGTATGTGTGTACGTATGTTCCGAATAGAAAATTCCATTTCTGAACTGATCCGGACCAAACTTTGCACACATACACTTCGGGGCCGGGCGGGTAGGCTACTTTTCGTTATCGACCGATATCGATTTTATCGATTTTTTGCAAAATTTGAGCTACGGGGCTGGGAGTTGGCACAGGGGGGTAATCGAGCATGCTGATTACGAATATAATAATGACAGAGCCGGGCGGAGCCGGGTAAGTCAATTAGTAACTTATAAACGAAGCATTGCGGAAAAGCGCAAAGTTCACATTCGGTGTCAGCGACCCTGATTAGCCTAGTGCTAAAGTTTTCACGATGCTTTGTTTGCTCTCAAAATTTGAATTAAACCTTCAAAAATCCACTTCAGAAATCTTACCGTTCTATGAATATGAATAGCGATCGTAATCTGCTTCCTACCGTAAATTTGAGTTGAGATCAGCTTTACGAAAAGATCCTCCTTAAAGCTTATCCAAAGACTTCATGACAAGAGAAAAAATTAAACGGTAAGCACATATTTTTGCACCTTGTATAATCGCATACAAGAAGCCCAAAACCTTTTTTGCGACAACATTTCAAAATTACAATAGGAAAGCTCCTATTTTTCTGCTTGACAATGACACAAAAGCTTACTCGCACAAACAAAGGAGCTCTCACCGTGTAAATTATCTTTAATTGCTTTGCTTTCATTTCAGTAAAAGAAAAGAAAAGAAAAAGAAGTACTATTGCAAATCTTTCTTGCACGTTTTGAATTTCTAGGAGTTTTTGAAAAGGTTGGATATCGCTGGACTCGCAGAAGGTGGAATAGAACTAACTACAACTTGTTATTTGGAATTTCTACTTGTATTTATGATGTTTCTATCAGACCAAGCATTCTTTGAAAAAAGGTCACTGGTCATGCTCTACGGCAGATCATTCCAACAGATCAGTGATTATGAATCAGCGCATTCACAATGCACTTGCTTCGAAAGCAAAGCCGCACCATCTCCATTTCATCTTCATGAATTTTTCATACGAAGTACGGACCACTGCGGTGGAGACACTTGAGCACATGATTCTTTTGCAGAAGCTATCATTCTGACATAGAGACTCAGTAACAGCCATCCAATCAAGTCATCTTTCTCTACTGAGGAATATGATGTTTATTGAATTTTTTGGATAAAGGATTGTTCTGTCAGGCTTAAACGCCATGCTAGCTGCTGCTGAACCCCAAAACCAAAAATGCTACTGAAATGATTGCTTACTTTAGTTTAGTCCAGGCTGAAGCATGCTTATATCTTTGAAATTATTTTATATGAGCAAATGAATTTGCCCTAAAACGGTACAAAATTTCATGTAGAAAAAAGCGCTTCGTTTGCGAAGCCGCATTCATTTCTGCTAACTTGAAATACATATATGAATTTAATGTAATAACGTAATGATTTTTATTTTTTTATTTATTTTGATACGCACAGGGCGTGCGCGTGTATCCAATATAAAAACGAAAGGAATACAGGGGATAGCAATAAAGAAAACACGGAAACAACCAATTACACAAGTCCAATCCGCGACTTGATGGTTGGAACTTGCGTATGAAGGCGACCGTAATGCGGTTTCTAGTATATCCGCTAATTTGGACTGTGGTGAACGATACAACAACTTTGACAGCTTATCGTTTGTGGTTGGCTAACAGATACGAATTGGAATGCATATGGCGAAAACATAGTGATGGTGGTTGCGTGGAGATTAAGTAGATCACCATCTTCTATCGCATATTTTTTTGCACAGAAAATGTAAGTGTATTCCACTTATCTTTGATTACATAAAGCAGAAAAAACGTTTTCTTTTACAAATTATTGGTTTTAGTTTGCTGTTGAGTGAGCTATGATGTCTCATAACAGAGTTGCTTGAAATACTATGGAAGCGATGAAGTATTCTATATTGGCGTTTTTGTCTCATAATAATTGAAAATCCTAGGTATCATCATGATATATCGCCAATCTATATAAAAGATTTATGTCATTAAAACAGAGAATTTGTTCATTTGAGCCCAGCATTTTTTGCATGAGCTGATGGAGACTTGAGGTTGTGATCATGAAAATTTTCTTCAGCACCTATTTTTCCCTTTCAGTCTCCTCTTACTTCGTTTAATGCAGTTTCTTGGTTTGATAAATCGCTGCTTGAAGATTTTACTCCTTCTCTTTCTCCTTTTTCTCGGAGAAGAGACCTCATCGTTGTCGACGATGTCGTCCGGATTCACTATCTCCGTTAGTTTTTTCTGCAAAGTCTGTACAAGTGATACCTAAACAGAAAGCGATTAACAAACATACCCTCTCGCTCAGTGCCACTACATACACGCCAGAAACAGGACGCCAAACAATCGCGACATAAGCACTCTCTAAAGTAAAAACTTTCACACGTTTTTCAAAAGCAACGACATGATCAAAGTTGTTGTATAGAAGCTAAGTTTGTTCATTGTGTATTTGATGGAAGTAAGTTTGTTCATTGTGTATTTGATCAATCGTTTTTTGAAATTATCAGCCAAGTTGCACTAGTGCATCAAGGTAGAAGCGATAGCAAATCGTAAGAATAGTAAAATTTGTAGCGTGAAGATACAAGTGGCGACAAGCCTACGTTTTGCAACATCGATCATTTTTATGGCGCGATGAATGTAAATGCCACATTTTTGCCACATTCAAAAGGTCGCTTCAATACATCACGAATACCCGCACGTATACGTCACAGCTGTCACGGGTTTCTGCTTCATTGGATCAGAAACGTGAACACAAAATGTAATTTGGATATGTATGTACCCTAAGTGAATCTGTTTAAGGTTATCCAAAAGGTGTCAAAAAAGTTGTTCTGAAGTAAAATCAGTAATCTGTTTCATCTTTCCGCGTTAGCATACAAAAGCAGACACTTTGTTGCATAACTAAGGGTTGGTTCGCTCACAAATTTGTGAGGGCATGAGGCTTTTTTTTTCACATAACCAAGAATAGAGGTCAAACAGGGCCTCTGCTCTGGAATGCGTTATATGGCAATGGTTAGAGGATTGTAGGAGATATTCTAGCATTTATGCAGAAGCAATCACTCCTCTCGTCGTTTACTCCTGTCGCTTACACATTTATATATTAGGAAAAAAAACAGTTTCATTTTGTGTAAATGTTGCCAACACTTATGTTGTGGATGAGCACAGACTAGCTTTTGAAATATTCGCATACTGGGGTCCTAACCGCCAAGTAAACATTTTGCACTCTAGTTATGATGTAGTTTTAGTTTATCGTGCTCTATCTATTGACTAAAGCATTTCACTCACACATAATGTACGAGAATTCTCTTGGACATGGTGGCTAGGTTGCCATTCTTTGCTATAGCAACACTTTGCTCCTGAGAATCTCACGAAGACAGCTGCTAAGTTGAAGAAAATAAGGGATGCTTCATTTAGTGACAACTTACAATAGCACAAGTGCTCTCGCTCCCATATCTAATTTTGATTCAATTTGTCGCTCATCTCATGAACATCAAATATGTCACATTCTCAGCGTTCAACCGACACCGTTTACCATGGTAAATGATCAGATTCTAGTAGGCGCATGAAAGAACGAACTACAGCAGAATTTGCAAGAAGATTCCACGTTGTGTATTTCGTATCTTGCTTCAAAGTATTCAAAATCTATAAAAAAAACTCCTTAAGATATGCACGCTTGTGAATACAGAAGAGTCTTGTTCTCAATTAGTACAAATATGCTGCTATTCCTAGTCTTGTGGAGTCATAAGGTGAAACTAGTTTTCTAAACACTACGCCATACAATTTGGACAAACACTAACAAACTATGTTACTGCCACTATGACCTTTGTTATGATACTATTAGGTCGTCCCGAAAGTTTTGTCGGTTTTTTCAGACCACTATAAAACCGCGCTCAATGAAGATCTGAATGAGCTTCAGAATGTTGTCGATACATCTTTTCCTTCTCTTTCTTGTGGTTACATTTTCGAACCAGAATCCTGTATGCATTCTTTTATAATTGCTGAAATTCTTCACCCGTCATTTTTGTCTGCTCAAAGTTCGGCCAATTTTTGGAAATTTCATTTCGAAG